GAGTTTATATCACATGTGCAGAAGTAAGGACAATAAGTGTAATGTTTGGTCTACAATTTTGTGCCAATTTAAAGGTTGATCTTATATTTACCCAAACGTTATCTAAGGATAACGATTTTCAGAAATTAGAATCAAATTATATATTCGATGATTATCCATGCAAACAAACAACAACGAAATTACAATCCTATATTTGATTTTTTGTTATTCTATTTTCCTGAAATTGTATGCGCTGCTTGATTTACATTAAACGAGAAAAGTACAGGCACATCACAATAACAATTTCATAATTGGTGACAATATGTAAATAGACATAAAAAAAATTTGACCAATATTTGCCCATGCTATGTATGGAAAACTGTAATGGATATTTTCTTTGTTTTCGTGAAATATGCGCATATTTTGAATTAAAATATCTTGTCACGTTATTAATGTCATTGTAAATCTTTTCTTAATAACTATATTCAATTCTAGTATATTTGAAATTTTATGTTTGCCTATGTAATGAGAAAAGGAAAATGTATGATCAATTAGTTCCTGAAATTCCAAATATAGTCCATGCGAATTTATTAAAGCCGTGTAAAACTAAACGTATTTCATTGGTTTATTTAAATTTATTGGTGAATTAACAAGTTAGTATAATCTGTACACTCTTAAAGTACAAAACAGTAACTTGTCATTCTTATGGTCATTGTTTGTATTCTTGTCTTTCTTTTTCGCTTTTGTGCTTTGTGTATATAGTGTCTATATGCCATTTTTTTGTTCATTTTTGACATAGTTGTTTGTTTTATAGTGATTAAGATTATATTTTGACTGCTGTACCCCAATTTTTTTACAGTGTTACCTACTAGGTCTGTTTATTTTGCTTACACATTATTGTCAATATAATGGAATTCTATGCGACTGTCATACATGTGAGAAGTTTAGCTAGAAAACCGGGTTTAATCCACTATTTCCTTCATATAATAAGAAAAGGAATTTAACAGTTTTTCCATTCGTTTGATGTGTTTGAGCTTTTGATTTTGCAATTTGATAAGGGACTTTCCGTTTTGAAATTTCCCTGAGAAACGTATATGCATCTTGTTTGTCGCAGTTTTTCAAACACTTCAATTTCTTTGGCCAAAATGGGTTAAATGATCCTTCTCCTTAATTCAAACCATTGTTTTGGCCTCTTCAAACGTCGGTCGAACATTATCGTTTCCGAATCCACTACATCGTATATAATTATTTTACTACTGAAAAAGGTAGATGAGAAAGGGAAAAAAAAGGTAAACAAAATTAAACAAAACCAATCCACATCACACCAACAAAATTGATCTAAATAATGTAAAGCAAATCTTGATAATATACCCAATTAAGGTGCAGGTATCGCCTTTATTGACCTTTGGTTTGTCAAAAAAGTATGTCGTAATGTTAAACACCGAGGTTTTTTTAAAATTTTAATTCATTTACACAGTGAAAAAAAGATGGTTACAAAATATTTTCCTTTACAATTTGTAGTGCCTGTACCAAGTCAGGAATAAGACAGTTGTTTTCCATTCGTTTGATGTGTTTGTGCTTTTGATTTTGCTATTTGATAGGGGACTTTCCGTTTTGAATTTTCCTTGGAGTTTGGTAATTTTGTTATTTTACTTTTTTTACATATCCCCCATACATATTGTTGTAATCTTTCATTTTCTTAAGACAACACTAAAAATGGAATTCATCAGGGGCTCCATTTGGACGAACAAATTTTATCAAACTTCATATTTGAAGTCTTTAAGTAGCCGTTTCAGAATATAATGTACCAGTGTCTGAGCAGAAAGTTGATGAACCAGGGGTATGTCAAAGAACGAATCGTCCTTTTTCTAAAAAAGGTTCATCAGAAGGTACCAAGACCTTGTTGATAAATATTCCGTATCAACTTCACAAATAATACACGATGGTCTTGAAGTATAGATTCTGCGTACTGACGTTGTTTATCATCTTAATAACGTGTTATAGTATTCTTTTATTTGTCTTTATTAATATTACTTTTACTGTTAATAGATTATACGATTATTAAAGGCAAAATGAGGATGTTAAATTTGATGTATTCCTTTTTGTGCTTCTTCGTTACATTTGTTTGTTTTTATAGTGATTAAGATGATAACATAATGTTGACTGCTGTACCCCTATTTTTGACATTTTTACCTATTGTGTCTGTTTGTTTTGTTCACGCATGGTTGTCAATATAATGGAATTTGATGCGACTGTCATACAAGTAAGAGGTTTGGCTAGCTATAAAACCAGGTTCAATCCACCATTTTCTACATAAGAAAATGCCTGTACCAAGTCAGGAATATGACAGTTGTTATCCATTCGTTTGATGTGTTTGAGCTTTTGATTTTGCCATTTGATTAGGGACTTTCCTTTTTGAATTTTCCTCGGAGCTCAGTATTTTTTGTGATTTTACTTTGTACCATTGGTAATCTCTTTAAAAGCTTAAACAAACACGTTCTGACTGTTTAAAAAAGTTACAAACCATAGAAATCCAATCAATGACGTTATATTATTTTCAGTTTGTATACGAAGGATCAAATTAACCCGACGAATTTAGTAATTAGTAAACATGAATTTTCAAACAATTTATAATATGTGTGAAATGTGTCTATATCGTATTGATGTACAATTAAATCTCAAATTATATTGCCAATTTTGTGTGGTGAAATCTTCTGTTAAGTGTTTTTACCTGTAATGTAACAAACATATTGAAGAAATTGTCACTTCAGCACATTTTAGCAACAAATTAACAGACTAGTTATATTGGAACAGTAACTGTCAATAAAATTCAATAATTGCACACTTGTTCGTACAAATAATCTAAGTTGTTATCAAAGTCAAAGATTTTTTTTATTTGTATGAACATACAATGTATATGTAGTGCAAGTTATCTATTTGTCAACAATGAAATTATGTCTTTGAAGAAAGTTATGCAAATTTAAGAGTCTAGTCTGTTAAGCTGTTAACAAGTATTTGAAAATCATTTGGAATGCTCAGTAGTGATTAATTGTATTTTTCAATACTGTTGCAGAAGATATAAAGGGGAATATTCAAAACTCATAGGTCGAAGAAAAACTGACAATGTCTTGGAAAAAAGGACGAAAAGTACGAACAAATTTTCAAGCAACACGAACCCCGCCAAAAACTTGAGCTGAACTTATGCGCTCTCGAAGAGTTAACAGTTCCTATCCCATCAGTCGTGTTGCTAATGAAACAAAAAAATAAATACGGCGATAAGTCTCATTCCGTTATATCACAATCGATGATGAAATGACGGGATAGGAGGTTTTGACAATTAGAACACATCCGTGGTCATCTGTCACACAGATATTCTATACCGGTCAACCAATTATTGATGGCATCCGTAAAACGTTCGAAGGGATGACTTTAAATTCACCACTTGGAACTATTGGTTCAATAGCTTTCTTGAACCCAACAATCCTCTATTATGAAAAGATGACTGGAAGCTCTAGAATATCGTATCAACTTGATAGAATATACTGCATATGCGCGCGCTGATCGAATGTTGCTATATTAATGAAAAGGTCACAATTTGGAAGTTGAAGTCATATGATCTTATATCATTGATAATTTATATATTTTAATATTATATTTTGTTTAGACACTATAGTTATCTTATCTTATTATATAAAAGACCATAACTAAAAAGATAAATCTGTCAAAATTATTATTGATGAATGTAGAATATTCTCAGTTCATAGAATTTGATTTCCTCATTTTTACATTTGTTCACTTTCAGGAGACGAAAAATTTATATCACGAGAAGAAAGTAGTTTTCTTCGCATTACTTTGCTTTGTCATCAGATTGGTACTGAAGCCGTTCGTTCTGTCTTCAGACATCATGTTCCAGATGGAATGCTAGCAAACCATTTGAAAAACCACAAACAAACAATACGTAACTTATTTCACGCTGGGATTTGTACAAATCCTCAAATGTCATTACTTTATCAAGGTATCAATTTTAAAAAGTGTAGCGCATTGTTGCTTATATAAGCCTATATTATAATGATGCTAAAAGGAAATAATCAATTTTCCGCTAACAAAAACATTATACTTAAGCCAGGACGGTTAGTTTAAATTTTAGACTGTTTTTCTTTACGTTTCGTAATGTATTATCATTTTGACTGCAATACGGGAGGGTAAGAAAAGTAAATACATCGATGGCATCAAATTTTGTTGTCAAAATTTGTTTAAAGTAAATACACAACAAACAAACAAACAAACAATAACAGAACTACATAAAGAGGACAACAAACAACCAGCACTGACTAAGGACCGACACGAGAACATGTCTAAAAGTCACAGTTGAGCTTTCTGCATGGACAACAAATCTCATCCCCCTGCAAGTTCTAGACAACTCCTTGCACGGAACGTAAATCTTTCCTAGATACCACTACACTTGTGCAACTAAAACACTGCTGTGAAATAATATAAACACTGATTTATATCTTATGAGGCAAATATGATTAACAAATACTGTCATACATTTGATTGCGGATTACACAATAAACTGAATAAAGGGGATAAAATAAAGTAGAATAAGAACATTTATCAAAGTTATGAATACGCCATAACTATTTTAATATATAATGAAATACATCTCTAGCACAGGAATACCTTTTGTGGCCTCCATACAGCACGGAAGAAATACTTAGCTAGTATAATGAAAAAGGAGAAAATTACGTATCAATTCACGCGACAGTATCACTCCGCAATACGAAAAAAAATCCGAAAGATGGAAACAACTCTTTTATTGCTGTTATTCATATCAATATTTATCATATAAGTCATACTAAAGCCTTCAACACGAAGCAAAGTCTCTCACATTGTTACCGGCCATTTTGATCTTAACATCATCTGAAAAGACTGAACCTAAAAACGTAAAGACTTGTTAGTTAATCCAATACTAGTACTGTTAAGTAGCTAATCAAAAAATTCAGTATGTTGTTTTTGTACAGTTTAATAACTACTACTGAGCACTGACTGAACTGGTCTTAATTTACTGCAAGGTAGCTATTTTAACAGTTCTATAAGTCAATCATCACTTATGGTTCAGTCTCATCAGAACCATTTAAATCAAAAGACAATTTCAGTTCGAAATTGGTTTAACTAGTGGTGACATTTTAAACACCGTGGCGGTGTTAATTATTTTCACAGAATTATATTGCTTTAGTTACAGGTATGGCAAACTCTAAAGACTTTGATTTTACTCTCCTGCATTTACTAATAAGAAATACAGTTGCAAATATTGTACCGACAAATGGTTGGAAAAATTCCCCGTCATCTGGAGATATATCTGAAGGAGACGATATAGTGAGAATTAGACATCTACGCAATAGCTTGGCTCACCATAAAAACTGTCAGTTCTCTGATATAGAATTCCAAAGTACTTGGAATGAACTATCTCAGGTTACATATATTTAGATTTCATTAAATTGCATGTTATATGGTTTGCATGTTCTTCTACAACAAAAGCAAATAATGTTATGTCAAGCTTACATTTATAATATTTCATTCGTCTCTAACCAAAATTTTTTTTTGTTATTTCTGTTTCTTTAACAACATTGATATTGAATCATTAAAATGTATTCATGAAGCTACATTAGATACTTAAAACAGTTTTCTGCAATTTGGCATATTTTCATAATAGGTTAATGTGATTCTTACTGTATTTTAGGCTATAACAAGACTAAGTAAAGGTACTTTAGAAAAAGACGTTTCTTCGCTGAAAACAAAACAGGTCGATCAACAACAAGGGAGTGAAATACTTGGTGCCTTGCAAAACGAAATGTTGGACATCAAAGGTCAGGTTTGTGTGCTGCAGGATGAGCACATTAGCATTCAAGATACAATATATGAAGTTGCAGACATATTGTCGTCGCAAAGAAAAGATATTGAACAAATGGAAAGAAGACACATCCCGGACCATGTTAGAAGTATTGCATACTGTGGATTCATTTATTTTCGTGGGTACCAATTTTCGTGGATTTATGAAAACATGCATTTTCGTGGATATTTGATTTCATGGTTTTCCAAAAGTCTGCATATAATCATACAGCAAATTTGCAATTCGTTGAACATTTAAATTCGTGGTTTCCTTGTATCCACGAAATCAATGAAAATTGGTATCCAACAAATAATAATGAATCCACAGTACTTGATGAAATTATCTTAACTTTAATGTTTTCTCATATATGTATTTTTTTAGAATAAAATCATAGAAATATCGCAAGCAATATAATTATATAATTAAAACCCGATTGTTCAGAGAACAATCGAAGGTCTTTTCACATCAATTTTCTAAATGATTGATGAGAAGCCACTTATTGTCCACTCAAAGTTACTATTGGCGTCCAAGTATTGGTTACTTCATACAGATTCAATAAATATATGGGTTCTATACATTTTTGCCTGAAATAAGGGAGATAATTTGCTACTTCCGGTTTAAAAAATGCCACTTCCAGTCTCATATGATAGCTTTATTCATACTGATTCCAAAAATATATATGGTGTTAATATACTTTTGCCTGTAATAAGGGAGATTTTTAGCTATTTCCGGTTTATTGAAGGTCACTTCCTGTCTCAAATGATATGTTTATGTATGCCTATTTAAAAATATGCAGTTTCTATGTACTTTTCAATGAAATAAGTGCAAAAATGGCAACTTCCGTTCTACTCAAAGTCACTCCCGGTTGATATTTTTTAAGGTCATATGTCATCCAACATTTTGCAAAAGACCCTATGGCTTTATCATGTACCAAGTTGGAGTAATACTCAATTAACCTTAAATTTAACCATTTCAGGGACAATAACTCCTATAAGATGTCATTGGATTGTTTCAGACCAAATGTATCATATTTTCATCACAATGAGGCAAACATTTTGCGCTAGTTCTTTTATATATATTTTTAAAAGTGACAGAGGAGATCATAAAACAAGGAAAAGTGAAAATTTAGAATATGACCTTGACCTCAATTTCATTTTAGTGAACCAAGGACCTCAAACCAAAATACCGTAGGTCTCTATCACTTACCATTCATGTTATACATTAATAGTTAACTTATGTCAAATACAGAAGGGGAAATAAGTCAAATGGAGTCTTCGTGTCACTTCGGTCAAAATTGGACAAAACATCCTGAGAATATAACGAGCAATTTGGTAAAATAAATTTGTCGATTTCTTTTACGGTTACGGAGGAGATGCACGAACAACAAAAACAGTGTTTTGGAAGATAACTTTTACAATAAAAAGTTTTCGACTAAGCAGGGTAAAAGGAGTAGGTCCGGTAAGGACCGATTTTGGCCTCAAATTTCAGGTTCATTTGATGAAAAATTTTGGACACTTTTTAAACACTTAAGTGTCTACTTGAGTCGATTCATTTAGTTTATGTGAAAGATTTGAACTGATTCAGTCATTAAAGACGCTCAAATTCAAGCTTAAATATGAAAAATCTGTCAAATATGCCATAATAGGTCACTTTTCAGATGGTTTTTGTCAAAAATGAAAGTGGCCGCATCCGTATTCACTCTCAACCTTCATATATGTTATGTATTATCATAAAATACAACTTACATTTAAATATTAAGAATGAACACGAATGCGGCCACTTCCATTTAAGACGGAAACTGTCTTAAATTTAACTCAGATGCTTGAATTGTGAAGATTTCATTAATTTAGCATGACTTATTGATGCTAGTGCCCGATATATGTGCATTGTATTGTCAAAAACAGCCCATATTTATGTAACATAAGTATTCTACTTTCAAATAAACAGCTAAAAGTTTACATTTTAACAATTTTGTAAAACTGCTATATTTTGGGGCCAAAAAAGGGTCTTACTGGACCTACTCCTTTAAAAGCGCAATAACTGTTCGATATCATATGCAAAATATATAAGCGACATCTTACGAAACCACTATACACCGCAAGAAAAAAATTTGGCGGTGTTTCTCATTGGCATTACTATTGGGATAAACTATGCTCCTCTTCTTGTCGACACATGTCTTTTTTCATATGAGTAAGACTTCATCTGTCCATACAAGAGCTTATAAGTAGGAACGAAAGAAATCTAGCATTGTCCTATAGCTACAAGCTATATACTAAAAGTTAAAGTTCCCTAAATGATTCAGAGTAAAATGACTATGTTGATTGTGGTTGCTACATTCGAATTATGGTCACTTTAAGCAATTATGTCTATTTTGGTTGGTCACATACATTTTGATAATATAAAGACAATTTCATACAATTGGGAGGTTTGGCTAGCTTTAAAAACAGATAAAACCCAATATTTTCTTTGGAATATGCCCGTGCAGGAATACGACAGTCGTTGACATACATATAGCCCAGCGTTTGATTTTGTCAGGATTTATGGACTTCCTTTTTGAATTGACCTTAGAGTTTGTTATTTTTAGTAATATTTTTGATACCACAGTTACAATTAAGTTAAATTTCATAGAACTAACACATAGAAATTTACAATGACAGTTTTTTTGAAAACAATTAAATTTCGTCAAAAGAGATTGTTTCCGCTTCCAGATTGGAACTCTTCTTTTCTATGTACCAACATTCAGCAGCGCCAACATGTGGAGTATTTGTCTTCTAGTTGACGAGATATTTCAGAGCTTAATTAACTGTCTTCTTTCGAAAATTTTACGGATGCCATCATGAGTTGATTGACCGTTATTGATGTCTGTGCCACAGATGATCATGGATATGTAAGAATTATCGTGGCCACAACCCTGTCTTATTTTCCTCAATTGTGATATGAACGAATGAGACTTAATATGAAAATTGTAATTATCCTCAACAACAGGACCCCATTAGGAGCAGGATCTTCTTACACTACCAGAACAAGTTTGCTTTCCTTGTGTTTCAATTGAGATTGTGTTGTCTAGTCTATAGTGTTCTAAGCACATTTTTGTAGCTGGTTTCTCTTTGACTAAAAAATCGTGACACTATTTCATTGGCAACATATTTTGAAATAATAATAACTACATATGATTTGTAAAAAATGGTTATATCGTTAAATATAATTTGAAAAAAAAAACGAGTTACATACTGCATAAAATTGATTTAACAGATCTCAGCGAAATCATTACTGGACATTACTTATTTTAATGCCTAGAATATTTCAAATATAATGCCTTCCAAATGTGTGACAGCGAGTGTACATAATGAGGCAATCAACATCGATGCCGCTCCTGTGATAGTAAATAAAGTTAATACTAATTTTGAGATTAAAAAAAACCAACAAGAATTTTGATTTGTATTTCAGATTGTCAAGTTGATGTTCTAAAGGACTGGAAACAGGAAGACATTGTGTTTTATGAGGGAACACGTGTTTATGATGCAGCACTGAACATGATGGAAAACAAGAAATACTTAACCTTCATAGGAGGTCCAGGCTCTGGCAAAACAGCAACAGCTCGCCATATTGCTTTGCAGTTGGGAAAAGCAGGTGCAGAAATTGTTCCAGTCTGCGGACCAGAGGAGGTCCTTTTATATGGCAAATCCTCTATAAATCAAGTTTTCATTCTTGATGATATATTGGGTATTTTCGCTGTAGATATAACGATGTTGAACAACATCATAAGGCATCAAGAAAGATTACTAAAATTACTAGGAAACCAGTCGAAACTTATATTCACTTGCAGAAAAACAGTTTACAAGGAAGCTTTAAAGTTTGACTCATTCATCACCAAAAATATTGTTGATTTACATGGGGGAGATTTTGACTTATCCGAGGAAGAGAAAATGAAAATGCTAGCACAACATTGCAACAAAGCCGGAATTGACAGCAGTGTTTATAATACGCTGTCATTCAACTCTGCAGAAATAATGTTTCCATTTGTTTGTAAGTTGTTTGCAAAAGACAAAACTTGTCATAAATTTGGCTCCAGATTTTTCAATAAACCATTTGAATGTCTTATAAACCAAATGGAGATACTTCAAGGGACCAATCCTACACAGTATACTGCAATGGTTCTATGCCTTGTGAATGAAAACAAAATTTCCCTACAAAGTCTTCCAGATAATAATGTTAAAGAAGATATATATAACTGTTGTGGTTTAAACAGAAGTACATCTGATAGGCAAATTATCGACGCATTAAAACAGATAACAGGGACATTTGTTTCTGAAGTTAACAACGAATTCACGTTTATCCATGACTCAATATATGAAATTGTCGCTTTCCATTTTGGTACGGACCATGTGACACATATCTTGAAATACATGCCAAGTCATTTTGTGGCAAATAAACTTATTGTTTGTGGGGAATCGACGTTCGACAACCTCAAAATTAAACTCTCGAAAATTTATTTTCCATTACTGGCAGATAGAATGTATAGTGACATCAAAGATATGCACCTATTTGACGTTTTTAGGAACACTTCTTTGAACAATATTCAATTTTTATACGTCTTTATCAATTTTTTCAAGCAGATACCATACTGTGAATTTAAACTACGAATACTTTTCCGTTCTCCTTTTGACCCTCGGTATGTTATGAAAAATGTAACGAGAGAAGACGAAAACCAAGAAAAGGATGATGACCTTATATATGATGAACTTACCAGACAAGAACTATTGATGGATAAGCATATATTTTACGGTGATAAATGGAAGCATTGTTGTCATATTCACAGCACTATAAGCTGGATTGTTTACTATGGACATATGCATCTTTTGCTTGAAATTGTTGAACATGTACAAAGTCAAGATGAATCTTCTGATTTAGTGTTTGGAACAAATTTAGAAGAAAGGTCGAGAATGCTCAAATTAGGTTGTTACAGTGGGAATGCCGATATCGTTGAATTGATGTTGCAATACATAGATGAAGAGAGCGTAAATTCATCTCCACTGTATAAAGAAGATGAATTTGTTGATGAAAACTTTCATAGAAAGCAAACGCCGCTAACAGCAGCATGTCATTTTGGTTATACAAATATTGCAGATATTTTAATTAAATATGGGGCTGATGTGAATTTACAGGACAGAAATTTTGAATCGCCTCTTTATGTAGCAATTGGACAAGGGCATTGTGATATAGTAAAGTGTCTCCTATCTTATAATGTAAGAACTTGGGATATTTTTATTCCAGACGACGTTAATATCACAAATACTGCAGTAGATCTAGCAGAGATGTGCGGAAAAGAAAACATTGTTGATTTGCTAATGCAGTTTGACGAAGAAGACAATTACACTTTTTAATTTGGTGTGTACAAAGTTGCTCTCTTGATTCCCTTTACCAAAAACAAGAGGAACGCAAGGACCAAAAATTTGAAAAGCGATGGATGTTTAAATACATGATTAGGTCAATATGCTTTCTGGCCTTTGGACGCCTTAAACCATAGCCAAATTCCTCCAAGGTTAGCTTTGTCTTAGGATTGAAATTTTAGTTTCTGTTTCATTTTTAAATTCATCAACTAATTTCTAAGAGATAATAGCATCAAACATTGAAGAGAAAGCAATACTGTAATAAACAGTTATTTTCTCTAATTTTCATGCTATTATCACATTACTCGATCGGTGTGAGAAAAATATTTCTATTCTTTAGAGAAAACTTTGTTTATGGCAAGTGATTGGTCGGAATAAAATTATGCCGTAAAATTTTCTTGATTGCTTCTAAAATTCCTATTGTGACGTCATGAAAAAAGGCGACCATGTCCGATGACGTCACATATAAAGAACACAACTTTCTGCAAATCTCTGAAAAGGAAGGATAAAACTTGTCTAAAAATCAATAGCGAAACAGATTTATCACTTCATCGCGTGTATAACGATATTTCTCTACTCTCAACAGTTAAATTTTAAATATTTAAAACGTTCGGCAAGCCTCCCATATTTAAACTAAAAATTAAACTGTCTCGAGTGGAGAAATATCATAACACACTTGATGCAGTGGTGGAATATACATGCATATATTAAAAAGTGGATTTTTTTATCTCAGTTCATTATTTTTAGCTCACCTGGCCCAAGTGAGCTTCTCTCATCACTTGACGTCCGTCGTCATCGTCTGTTAACTTTTACAAAAATCTAAATGGGCCAAATTTAACCAAACTTGACAACAATCATCATTGGGGTATCTAGTTTCAAAAAAATATGTCCTTTGACCCCGCCTGTCAACCAAGATGGCTGACATGTCTTAAAATAGAACATAGGGGTAAAGTGCAAGTTTTGTATATTGTTCGGAACACCGTTATAAATAGAGAAAATTTTACCATGTTTATTCAGTTTGCCTATTATCATGAAAACTATAACAGATAGAAAGAAACACTAAATTGCAAAAATGAGAATTTGAGTTATTGCCCTTTAATGACGTTTTTTACCATTTTTTTCGTTTTGTCTTATATGATACAAATCAAAATAGATAAAAAGACAATTTAAATCCATAAATTATCTGCAAGGCAGAATCTACTAACAAGTCAACTGTTGCCGATATAGTTAGTAGAACTTCTGATTTTGTTTTTTAAACGAATGGTCAAGAATAAACTGTTAACACAGAGATATGTCTTGTCTTTTTGTTATTTTGATAATAAAATGCAAATGTTGAAATAAAAATTGCAAATGTTATGCAAAATTATCAAAGTCAATGAACAATGACTGAATGTACAGAACCAAACAATCTCCTGGAAATGAGATGTGCCAATGATAATACATATGCATTCCAAATATATTGACCAACAACTAGTGGTTAGCCAAAATTGATTGGTCTAATCACAAGCTTAAATGTGTAAACTAAGAAAAAGTTTCAAAGTCAATATACCATGACTGAGGAGGCAGGGTCCCACAATCTTCATGGAAATGAGATGTACCAATGTTAATATAACTGCATACCAAATATCATTGACCTACCACTAGTGGTTCCCCATAAAATTACCTCATCAAAAACTAATACATCGTTGACGCCACCGACGCCGGAAACAGCATACCTATGTCTCGCTCTTTGACTCTGTGAAGGCGAGACAACAACCAAGAATGCTAATAGTAGGTTGTTACAGTAGGATAAACAAAATGAATGGTTAAGTTTTACTGTAAAACACCTGCACATGGACTTTCTTTTTAAAGTAAATCCTTTATCTTATCAAAATCTTCATAACTGAACTGATATTGATGTATTGTTTTCCCAAACTCCGTAATTCTCAGATAGCTTTTCGTATGCAGTGATCTTAACCACGAGAAAAATAATTGTTAGGACTTCGGCAACCACACAACCCAAGTGCAAAAGACTACCCGTGATGAAAGAAGTTAACAAACGTAGAATTTGGATGGTGTTGACAGACGAATTTAACAAACTCATTTAACAGCTCTAATTACAAAGTTAAATTATCAACAAAAATCAAACATCCGTCTTTTGCATGTCTATCATCTATAACTTATTTTTCAGATGCTTCCTGATTAATGTGTTTATTAAGGCCACGTTCGGTAAACTTCGGACTTTAGTATATCTATAAATTAGAGTACGTTTCTCTTCGATTTGTCTTCCTAGTAGGGTATTCTTGAGGGAAAGAAAAGCAATTAAATTATCTACAACCCTTTCATTTATGATTTGGCACACAACACTTTAGAAGTACATCAAACGGAACTTAAACGTACGAGATGTCGGTTATATGCCAATAAGACAGCAATCAAACGACAAAATCCACCTAAGCGCATTTAGAGGGTAACATATAGACACGTGAACATCAATAGATAGGTTACTTATCAATATGCCAAGTTCTAAATCGTATATGTCGGTTCAAAAAGTCACTCAGAGGTTAATAATTTATGTTGTATTGTCATTTGACTTGCAGACTTAAAAGAAAATTTCTTTGATTTGATTTGATCGTCACTATTTACAAAGTGTAAAATTTTAACAGAAACTAAGATCTGCCATTAAAACACAATTCTCTTAAAACCGTAACAATTCAGAAGAAAGAATATAAGTAGTATGAAATGGGGTCAGTCCCCCACAATTCCCCCACAGGAAGCCACGTCACAGCTAATCCTCTTAACTATGACGTAGTATCCGGTCTATAATCTCTTAATCCTCTTAACTGCTACTTAACATCCGGGTTATAATCCTCTTAACTGAAGTGGATTAATCTCTTAATCCTCTTAACTGCTACTTAACATCCTGGTTATAATCCTCTTAACTGAAGTGGATTAATCTCTTAATCTTCTTAACTTGTACTTAACATCCTGGTTATAATCCTCTTAACTGAAGTAGATTAATCTTGTAATCCTCTTAACTTGTACTTAACATCCTGGTTATAATCCTCTTAACTGAAGTAGATTAATCTTGTAATCCTCTTAACTGCTACTTAACATCCTGGTTAAAATCCGGTGGTGGAAAATTAACGGAAGTGTTTTTAATCCCCCTACCCTCCTACGTATGATCTTGTAAACGTGGTATACACGTTGACCTATCCACGTTTACATCCTGAAGTATAATCTGAATGCAATCAGTTTATAAACTAAGAAAAACGTTTACTATATATCATACATCAACAGTATTTCCATAAGAACAAACAATATGAATCTCCAAAATTTTAATATGTATACACTTTTAAGAGAAAGAGAATTGACAGGAAAGATCAGACGATCGCGAAGAGGTCCAAAAAAGACTGCAAATTTGATAAGGAACAGGGTTGATAAACTTCATCATGAAGAACTATCTCGGTGTCCAGTAGAAACATGGCTTCTAAAAAACGGTTACATTGTTTGTATTCTATACAACTTTGAACACCACCCAGAGTTTATTGAAGATCTTTATTTTTGTGGTTGTTACTTTGATGCAGTGTTAGCAGACTACAAGTTTATGGATCCTGTCAACTACCAATAAAAAAAAAATCCATGTATATCATTTACATGCGTACAACGGTCCTTTTTAGGACCAACAAATCATTCAAAAAGAGTATTTTATTGTTGTACATGATCAGTTCGATTTTCTTCTCCAACGATTATGAAATATTTACAAAAGGTTCACAACTCGTTTATTTTCGAAGAAAAGAAAACTAGATTATATATTTTATTACTTTCGATTGATAAACACACATTATTTCAACTAAAACAGCATTATGATAACAAAAGTTTTCATATTGAAAATTGGAAATTACACCTTCTTAATGAAATTCTCCTATAAAATATAGATATATATTTTTGTGTATATGAAAAAAAAAAATCATTTAAGTTGAAATGTTAGAGAGAATGAGCACAGAAAACCCTCAAACAAAGTGGTGTTTTTTCGGGCAGAATGTACCAAAAGCAGAGATCGTGTATTTTTGTCAGATGATAATAGTTTTCATAATTGTTATTGCAGCAGTTGTTAATTTGTCAACACAAAATGGAAGTATAGAACTATGGGTTAGTTTGTTAAGTGGTTGTACTGGTTACATTTTACCAAACCCCTCTATAAATAAAATATAAATGATATTCATATTAAAAGAAAGGAGGAAAAAAGGAGTGTTTTAGTGACCCTCCTCCCCCTCACGTGACTGAAACGTTTACTATACGTTTCGTTAATCTTTTTATGAATCATTATGAACAATTTAATCCGCGACCACAACTATAAAAGTACACAATTATATCAATGGCACAGGCACAGGTTGATTTATCTAAGGAGGTGTACGGTTGTGACTTTGAACATTTGCATACTGATTTATTCAAGAAACAGATTGAATGTTTAATTGATGAAACGATAAAAGTGGTGGTGAAGAAAAGAGGAAAACATACCCGATTACAGCTTGTTATAAAAGGGAAAAAGATTCTGATCAGTAAAGAAAATTGGACAAAACTGTGTAATCTAAAGGAAAGCATCTTATTTCTTTATTCATTTATAGACGAACACTGATAATATAATGGTGGACATTAAAGACGGTATGGGAAAAAGGCTACTTTCAACTATATTATTGTTTTCTTTTGCTGAATTATTAGAAGAAATGGTGCAACAATTATCAAAGAAGTTTTGCCAGGGATGCAAAGTTGAACATGGATCACAACATAGACACGATTGTTTGATGGATAGTGAACTGGATAAACTTGAAAAACATTTTGAACAGGCGTATTGTGAATTTAAATACAGTCACATACTAGGAAAGTACAGAGAAAATGTGAGAACATTGAACTTGGAAAATAGTGTCGTTTTAAACTTTTTCATTCTTCATGTGTTGTTCCTTGATACACTTCGATCACAAAAAATGAAAGAGACTGTTTATAATTTAATGGAAAGGAAAGTAAAACTTGAAGAACGTTTCACACAATAAGATTGTATTATATATAAATACATGTATATTTCATTGAATAAATTAGTATACTGATATGAAATTTTTTCGTTGTGTATTTATTTTTTAATGAAAAAATTATATTTCTGGTAAAGATTAGAAATGACTTCATGTTCGTTTATATCATTTCGATTGTATTCGTAATCATTCGTTTATTTCCGTATGTATATTTATTTCCGGTAGTAGTCGGAAACATTCGTTTATTTCCGAATGTAAAGTCATTTCCGATCATTTCCGGAATCGTTCGTTAATATCCGCCTTTTTATTCCGGAATCATTAGGTTGCATCCGTATTTTACTTCATTTGTTGCACTTTATTGTGTACTTGGTTCTTTTTTTTTTTCAGTTGTAGTATTTTGATTCTTTTTTTTCTGGTGATGTATTTTGATTCTTTTTTTTTCTTTCTGGTGGTGTATTTTCTTTCTCAAATAAAAAAAACTAAAACAAGTTAGAAATAACAGTATATAAAACAAACAAATACCTTGAAAAATAAATCACAATCCATAAGTCAATTAAGGTTTAGACAACAAACAAACAAAAATGTGTGAAGACACGGAGAAAGTGCTTTTGCCGTTTCAATCACCGTGTTGTATACAAATAGTTGGACCTACTCAGTCAGGAAAAACCATGCTTACATATAAAATCCTGGCTCAATCTGAATACCTATTTACCAAAACACCAAAGAAAACCATTTATTGTTACTCTGCATATCAGAATTTGTTTTCAGAGATGGAAAAAAAAGTTAGAAACATAACTTTTCACGAAGGTTTACCATCCAGTGAGGAAATTGATAAATGGTCAGAAAATAAAGAACATATGATTCTTTGTCTTGATGATTTATTATGTCAAGCTTCAAACTCTAGTGATGTATTAAATCTTTTTACCGTCAAATCTCATCATTGTAATATAACAGTTTTGTTTCTTATGCAAAATCTTTTCCCTCCTGGAAAATGCATACGTACTATTTCGTTAAACGCAACATACATAATATGTCTAAAAAACCAACGTGACAAACACCAGTTATCAGTTTTAGGAAGACAGATTCTCCCAGGTCAATTAAACTATTTCATGTCAGCTTATGAAAAGGCAGTTTGTAGTAGGTTTGGTTATTTGATTATCGATTTGTCAACGCATACAGATAAAACATATTTATTGAGAACAAAAATTTTCAAAGGAGAAGATCCAGTAATTTTTGTTCCAAAATGAGTAAACAAGTTTTAGCCCATGTACATTTTTTATCGCTTTTAATTACATATGACGAAGAACAGAAAATTGCATTGTTGAAGACTATGAACGACAAACAATTTCAACTTTTAGTTGAGTGTTTTTTAAATGTGTTATGGGGGGTATTTCATCTTAGCCGATCAGTTAAAAAGAAACTTATGAAATATAAAAGTATCATTCGGAAAATAACACACAGAGAGACATCACGTATTCAGAGAAAAAAATTGTTTCTGAAATATCATAACATTATTCCTATTATTGTAAAACCAATACTTGAAACAATTAAAAATGACAAGAGAAATGATTCTTCTTCCAAAACATAGATATGAAAGTATAGTACAAACAGAAAACAATGAAAGCAGCAAACAAACTTGTTCTAAGGAAGAATTTTCACCAAAGGAGGAATTAATAACCAAAAATGAAAATTCTGACCATGAATTGAACACTTTAATCGAGCTGACCATACCAGTGAAATATAGAGAGAAGGGGAAACAACTATTGAACTTTCTTCAGACTCAACCATTAATTAGTTGGAACAAACGAGGAGAAATTCATATTAACAACGAAACTATACCAAACACTCATATTGTTGACTTATTGCGGGATGTTGTCATTCCATATGGATGCAAACATCCACCTAATGGATATATACATTTTTATAATTTTCTTAAAACGATCCACATACCTATGGGATTTATTTCAAATAGAATGAGAAGACAACTGTTTCAATCGGATACAACTACAACACTGAAAAATGAACTATTAGCTGAAAGTGAACACGTTAGAAAAAAGAAAAAACAGACAAATAACAATAAACTTTGTGTAAAAAGAGAACTTTCAAGACTGCTTGATGACAAACCTAAACTTAAATGGAAAAGATTCAAATTGTAATATCCTTTCTAATGTTTTTTTTTTTTTTTTTTTTATTGTATGCTAATAAATATAGAATAATGGTTTGTGTTGATTATTCATTTTAACTATCAGACTAAGATGGTTATTTTTTGTTTGTTTAATGATGTGATGATGTCAATCAATGAAATCCCTTTTCCAGACAACTTCCTTAAAGCATAGACTAATTCTTAGCAATAGCAAATAAAGGAAAAGTAAAAATTTTATAACATTGAAATCACCACCAATTAAGAGCTCACAATATCCTGAAAGTATGTGTTTCTCTGCAGTGAAGATTAACTACTAACAAAAACAATGAGATAAACAAAAGTATAATTGTTATCAACTTATTTTATTAATATAAAAAATACTGTATGGTGGTATACTTTATGAATTTGCAAAGTGAAAATAAAAGTTTTATTTTTTCCAGTCTAAATTATAATAAATTTCATCAATTAAATATTTTTTAATTTTTAAAAATACATTAGTACTATTATTTTGGGTTTTACATAGCATATAACAATGTTTTTATATTAAAAGTAACATATATACAAAAAAATTCTTTAAAGACAAATATGTTTTTAAAGTGCACCATGATTGTAATAACATATCACATAAGAACATTTTTAAAATGCAACACTATCAATAAACATAAACTTTACTGGTTGGGTGTAACATATTTACATAACTTTACATATACAAACAAGATATATCTTTCCAACATTGTGTATTATAAAAAGTAAAAAAGAAGATAAACTCTATCATTTTTTTTTTTTTTACACACATTTATAATTTAGTTTTAAAACAGTAAATTAGACGCACACACACACAAAAAAAAAATTTATCAGTTTGAGAAGTTAATTATTGATACATTATTGACATCATATATCTTTCTTTTATAGCACTATACAAAAAAGAAAGAAAAAAAAAACATGTATATTACATAACTATATAAAAAAATGTTTTCCCTGAGTAACATATTACTATTGCAAGTTTAAATAGAAAAAAGCACACAACCTTAAAGGGAGACAACTTTATGTGTTAATAAAATGATTGAGTAGTTAATTATCATTGCAATATAGATATCATATATCTTGTTTATAACACTATACAGAAAAGAAAAAAAAAACAACATGTATATTACATAACTATATAAAAAAACTTGTTTTCCCTGAGTAACATATTACTATTTCAAGATTAAATAGAAAAAAGCACACAACCTTAAAGGGAGACAACCTTATGTTTTAATAAAGGGGTGAGGAGTTCATTATCATTGAATTAGTGATATTATATATCTTTTTTTTTTTATAGCACTATACAACAAACTTGTTAATTATATAGATGTATGAAAAACTTTCCAAGTTAATAGTCTTCAGACAATTTAATTCTCAAAAATTAATTGACTAAAAGTGTAAACAAATGAGGGAGGGGGTATTTCTAATCAATCAATCACCTTTCTTTCAAACAATAATTTAATCTTTTATCATAATAAACTATGAGGTGTTTTTTCACAACAGCAAATGAAAGATTGAGTAAATAAAATCAGACCCCACCTACAAATAACAACTTGTATTGTTTCTTTCAAATACAAAGAGATTAGATAATTGATATATGAAAAAAAATGAGGATTAAAAAAAAAAACATCTCCATTATTCCACCCTTTGTATAGATAATTCCTTATACCCCTCCCATTCACTTAATCCAGGATGTGAAGTACTAATAAATACACCTTAACACTTGTTTGATAATCATATGTTAATAAGTTGCAAACTGTAAAAGAAAAAAAAAGAAGAAAAAAATGAATTCAAATAAGAACCTCATCAAAATAGTTATGATTGAGAAATGTCTGTTACAGCTGTCGTCATTGGTTCAAGATATTAAGGTAAGTTTTTTTCACAGTTTAAAAAGAATAGATTTTTGTTTTTGGTTTAATTCCAATGAATACTTTAATAACTTTTGAAATAGTAGGAAAGTAAAAATTTATCCATGAAACTAGAATTGAGTGTGTACACTATAATATTTCAAAACTCAAAACTGATTATACATTAATCTATTTGGAGCAACACGACGTCTGTTGCTCCTACGTAAAGGTTTTCTTTTCTGAATAAAATAATGAAAAATATAATTAAGTAACTGATATAAAAGATTGATAAATGTATTATAGTTCAAATTTCTATTAATAGCCATTGTAAAAATCTTTTGTATAGAATGTATTAGCAAGTCTTTGACACTCTGCCTCATAGGGATAAGTCCTAATATAATTACTGTAAAGGATGACAAAATATCTGAAATAAAAAGAAGTTTAACTGTGAATAAAGCTAACCTAATTAATATAAAAAAAAATCTTACTTACATTTTCGTTCCATTTCACACGAAAACACAATTTCATTATCACTTGTCAATGAAGTAATGCTAGACATTCTTCTAAGTGAAACTGTGTCTACGTGTGAAGGAAGAATATTATGACTATAACATTTAAAACATATATGTTTCCTATACAATATCATAAAAACAAAAATTATAAATATACAAACAAATGAGAGTACACCTAATAATATAACATAAATTTCATTATCGTTTCCCTCTGTATTTTCCACATCTGAAAAGTAATTTTTTTTTTTGCATGAAAATACATGATTTTCACAAGTAGTTCACTTAAATCTATTTTTCTTCTTTTCTTACACCCAAAGCGATTAACGAAGAGTTTTCTCAATCTCATTACACGATATCACATTTTTTATATTTCAAATAATATAAATACAATTGTTATACATATGATGTGTACACATTACACTTTTTATCAACGTGATTAATAGAAATTTATATTTATAATTTCAAAACTAAAAATACTTACATCCAAGAATTTCTAATGTAGTAATTTCTCCCTCATCTTTACTGTTTGAAAATGTCACTGTAAATAAATACAAAAAAAAAAAAAATATAATATCTTTAAAATGATAGGATAGGGTTCTTTGAGATTTCTTATTACATGAAAATAAAAGTATTTTACATTAAGATTACAGTTACAGGAAAAAACAGAAAAGATTCCTTTATACAAGTTTCTGATTTATTAAAGTATTCATTCTCACTGAGGAGGAAATTAGTTATCATTTCAATAAAAAGACAAAGAAAAAAAAAAGAAAATTACCTGTATCTGTTATTAGTTCATCGTCAATACTCCAACTTGACTCAGCGAAAGAATTAGTTGATTCAGTAATCTATTAAAAAAAAGTATATATAAATTCTTTTATTTTACAGATGCAGGAGAGAAGCAACCCCCAAGATATCATAGTAAGTATGCATATTCATTCATTTTAATGAATGAAAACTATATATAGATTAGCAAATCTGTTTTCAACTCCATATGAATTAATTATAAATTTAGTATTGCTTGTAAATATCAGCTTTCAGAAAATTAATATGTCAATTTAAAGTATATGTGTAAAGTTAATTTTCATCATAAAAGATTGTATATTCTTTTTTTAAAGCTATACATGTTTATTTTGTAGATGATAGACTTAACAAAAGATGTAGAAAAAGATCCTTACTGTGTATGTATAGATTTAACTCATTATAAGTTGCAAATCGGTTTTAAACTCCATATGTATTATTTATAAATTTTATATTGCTTATAACATTAATAATATATATACATGTATATATGAGCTTTCAGAAAATTAATATGTCAATTTAAAAGTATATGTGTAAAGTTAATTTTCATCATAAAAGATTGTATATTCTTATTTTAAAGCTATACATGTTTATTTTGTAGATGATAGACTTAACAAAAGATGACGAAAAAGATCCTTACTGTGTATGTATAGATTTAACTCATTATAAGTAATACAATTTATACAATGTTAACAATATTATTAAGAAAGGGTTAAAGTAAAAAAAAAAAAAAATAATAAAATATCCATTGCATGCTTTATTGTTTTTTTTTTATCATGTGTAAATGTTTAAAAGTTTTTTTTATAAATTTCTATTCAACAGCTTGATTTAACCAACATGAGTCAGCCCAGAGGGAGTCAAAATGTAGACGCGAAACCATCATTAGTAAGTACATCTTGATTTTTGGTAATAAGTAATAAAAAGAAAGGAGAAAAAAACCAGATTCATCCAATAAACAAATAATTGTAAAGCAAATAAAAAAAACGAGTAAATGAAAACAAAGATGTTTTTAATACCTTACTTCCAAGGTTGTTTTTTTTTTATATATATAAATGTTTAATACATTATAGCTAATGATGATACTTTTTATTCTACAGAACAAGAAGAGAAAAATGATAGACATCACTTCCGATGTTGAAAATGATGTAAGTTATGAGTTTAGAAGTAGAATATGCATGTATACTCTTATAAGAGAAAGAGAAATAACTGGGAAGATGAATAGACTTCTTATTAGATGAGGAATAAAGTATATAAACTCCGTTATGAAGACAGTCATCGTTATTAATAACGGTTGAAGTTTAACCATGTTGTAATTTAGATATTTCATTCACTGATCTACTATACTCGACAACCGAGGAGATTCATATTATTTCTAGAAATGTTTACTTATCACGTGATTGAAATATAACTTGAAGTCTTTCATGAATATTCATGTATGCAAATTTTTTTATTGTGTTATATTTTTACCATTCAAATAAAATGAATGTAGACTTACTGTACACATTTTCCCGTCTACCATCATCAGTTTATGATTAATATCATCACACAAATTCAAAGATTCTTCCAACATTATGATAACATGCTTCGTAAATTTAACATCTTCAATTTGATGTTTGCTCTGTATATGGTTGAAGCGAATGTTTAAAACGTCATCTGCTACCTCTCCCTGAAAGCTCTCTTCTGTTTCCCTCGAACAATCTATAAAATCTTCAACTCTGTAGCAAGATGATATATGTACAGCTCCTACATTTACAACACTTTGAAAGCAAAATAACAAACTCAAAAGCAACATGGCGACCATTTTTTTCTTTCTTTTTCCGATTATGTCATGTAAAATGTCACGTGATTTAAATATAATACTATAGTGTTGATTCTTGGTAAAGTGATGATTTTTGACTAAATAATTTTGTTGTGTTTTACAGAATATGGAAATAGACCATTAAGCATTCGAATAAAAGATGGATCGGAATGATTAAAAGATGGAATGAAATGAATAAAAGATGGAATTGAATGACAGACAATATTTAAAGGACATCATCATTATTTTTGTGATAGATTTTATAATAAATTATGTAAACATATTTTTTTTTTTGTATTTCTTATTTATTGATGTAGTGGTATTGTTTTTAGGTAGAGATTTATATAAGAATCGAATAGAAATGAAAAAGATGCAAATATTTACATTCCTTAATGAAAAGTTTTTTTTTTTTTCTTAACTTTTTTTATATCTTAAATCAAAACACAAACTAATTTCAGTTATTGAAACACTTTTTTTTTGTTTTTTTCCACCCCCCCCCCCCCCCCCCCCCCCATCTTTTTTACCTCTAATCCGATTCATATGTGAAACTTTACTTAAAACTAATTTGCGAGATATACATTCAGTTCAAATTGAGTTAAGTATGAATGAGGAACTAGATACTCTCCTAAGTAAATACTATTATGATGTTGGTGGACCAGCTTCATATGCTTCTACCGAAAAACTGTATCATATCGTAAATGCAGATGGGAATAAAGTTGGTAGACATCAAATTAAACGGTGGTTGAATTCACAAGATAATTACAGTTTACAAAAAACACCTCGTCGTTCTTTTAAAAGAATAAGAGTGTATACCACGGGGTTGAATAATTTATGGGACGCCGATTTAATGGATCTTAAACAATTTTCACAAGAAAATGAAAATTACAAATACGTGTTAGTTGTTGTTGACTGTTTCTCACGCTATCTTTGGTTACAACCATTGAAAAATAAAACGGGAGATGAAGTCACCTCTGCATTTAAAAAGATTTTTAGTGAGGTAAAACCGGAAAAAATTCGAACAGATAAGGGACAAGAATTTCTAGCCAAAAAGACACAGTCATTATTTAAAAGGAATGGTGTCCGCCATTTTTCGGCTCAAAATGAACTTCACGCAAATTATGCTGAAAGAGTCTTACAAACTATAAAGAATAAAATGTTTCGCCTTTTCACAAAGAACAGAACACATAGATATATTAACAACTTGCAAAATTTTGCAAAAAGCTATAATGATACTCCTCATAGAAGTTTACAAAACATTGCACCTAAAGACGTTAATTCAGACAACGAGAGTGATATCTGGGGGAAAATGTATTTAAGTGAAACAGAGAAAAAAATGAAAGAAATAAAAGTACAAACAAACAAAAAGAAAAAGAGAAAAAAACAATACAAATACAAAATCGGTTCTTTAGTTCGACTCTCAAATATTGCTCATATTTTTGATCGATCGTATAGTCAAAGATGGACGGAAGAGATATTCAAAGTAGTACAAAGATTCAGACAACAAAATATTGATCTTTACAGGGTTTCAAATATAAATGGAGACGAATTCATAAGGGGAACCTTTTATGATAGTGAACTTCAAAGAGTAGACAAAGACGAAAATAGTCTTTGGATAATTGAAAAAATTTTAAAGAAGCGAAAAAGACGAGGAAAAACTGAATACTTAGTTCGTTTTCAAGGGTGGCCTCCTTCGTATGACGAATACATACCAGAAGAACAGATTCAATCTTTATCATAATGGAACATATAATTTTCATTCGAAGTGATCAATCTGATGCATATTACCCTAATAATTCACCGTTCAAGTTCAAAGTGTGTTTAAATGAAGTTTTACAATTACAAGGTGAATGGAAACTAGGAATATTAGATTTTTACTCTAATCAAAAAGTTACAAAAAAGAACAATCATCAATTATACTTGTTTTGTGATGTATGTAGTGGAGTGAATGTTTTTCCCCATATACAATATTCACTTTTACGAAGAATATTTCCCACGGATATGAATACATGGAATTATTTATTTTCGTCTCCAATTTATTTACCGGTAAAGAAAAACGAAATTCAAGTCTTAGAATTTCTTATAAAAGATGAACACGGAGAAAACGCTTCATTTTTGAAAAATAATTTGTCTTTTACACTACAATTTATACCAAGCGTATTTTAGCGTAGATATGTCGAACATTGATAAAATGTACATTCCTAATGTTGATCTATGGTCTAGATATTATCAGAATGTAATTTCTGGTCAATCGAACGCTTACGTAGCTCATATGAAAAATGGACATAATAAAGGATCGCAATCGGGATCGTTTATGATTCCAATTTCGAATAAATCTTATCCAATTCGTGTTGAAAAAGAAAAAAACTTTGAGGTACGGTTAGTGTCGCCTAGTGAACAAATTGTTAATCAAGCAAAAGAAGAGATAAAAAATGACGGTGAGAGTATAAATAAAAAGAAAAGAAAGCGAAAAAATCATCATTCGCCACAAAGCAGAGGAGGTGAAAAGAAGACGAAAAAATCGAAAAAAGATAAAACTGTTAAAAAACATAAAAGGGATATATTTTCAACATAATGTCTTTGTTAACTAAAGAGAATTTTATTGAAGCACAACCGTCAGAGTTACAGATTTTTGAGATACCTCCATATCAAGTCGGTGTTGAAAGTATAACATACGAGGAATGCAGACCTGTTAGTCAAATAACAGCTTACAATCCTATAGAATTCGATCTATGTGCAAACAATGGTATGGATTATATAGATCTTAAAAGATCGAAACTATACGTGAAATTAAAAGTGAAAAAAGCAAATGGTGAAGATTTACAAGATGGCGATACGGTAGGACCTGTGAACTTATTTTTACAATCGCTTTGGTCGCAATTGGATGTTTATATACAAGGACAAATGGTAACGTCTAGTAATACGTATTACCCGTATAAATGTATGATGAAAACATTACTGCAGTATGGCCAAGACGCAAAGAGCACACAATTATCTTCTAGTCTGTACTTAAAAGACAGGTATGGTCACATGGATGAAATATCTACTAACACTGGACTGTATGAACGCAGAAAATTTATTTCTAATTCGAAAACATTAGAAATGGAGGGACCAGTTTTTTCTGATATCTTTGAGATGGATAGATACCTGCTAAATATGTTATCCCTTAAACTAAAATTATACCGCAACGATCCAAGTTTTTGTTTGATGTCTGGAGAAATTGAAACTAACTATCATATTTCTTTGGAAGATGTCGTGATAAAGCTTTGTAAGATCAGACCTAACCCAGCTATAATTGTCGCTCATTCAGAAGCTTTAAAGACAACAAATGCTAAGTATCCTTTCACAAAAACCATGATGAAAAATTTTACAATAATGCAAGGAAGTACTTCGTTAATCGTAGAAAATGTTTTCCAAGATGCGAGACCGAAAAGTATTGTGCTTGGATTGGTTTCTTCAAATGCTATGTCTGGAGCATATACAAAAAACCCATTTAACTTTAAGAATTATGATTTAAAACAGGTGACTCTGTTTTGTGACGGAATACCAGTTGATGGTATACCACTCAAACTTGATTTCAACGAGAATAGCGGTGCATCGAACGTTTCTCCTTATGTAAAAATGTTTGAAACAGGAGGAAAGTGGATGTTGGATACGGGGAATGAAATAACAAGGGCTGAATTCAACAATGGATATACGCTTCTATGCTTCAACTTAGAACCATTCTTTTCGGATACCAAATATCTTTCACTACTGAAGCAGGGGAAAATACGATTGGAATGTCAGTTCGGTACTCCATTACCAGAAACAGCTGCCTTACTGATTTTAGCTGAAAACTATGGATACTTTGAAATAACCGAGAATCGACAAATAAAGATTGAACACTAACATTTCCATGTAAATTGTAAAATCATGACTATGACTGTTTGTTTATTGTGTATATCTATCTTTTTTTATAATGTGTGTTTTACTACAATATATTCAAATAAACGAAAACAAACAACTGGATTCATTGATATTTTATGTTTTATTTCAATCAGATAGGATGCGAAAAAAAAAAAAAACAGGAATAAATAAAACATAGATGTAAAAGTAAATTACAAGAAAAAAGTAACTAAATTACCCACAAACAAATTTTGTCATACACAAAATAATAAACTGAATAAATACTATCGAATACAATATACAATAAATTATAATAAAAATATGATGCATCTACATTCTCCTTCACTATATGTAACAATCGTATTTAAATCACCACAAATTTTTGATATCCAAAAAAAAAAATTCCCACTTTGCTCTAGTTATTAATACACATTTGACAAAAAGAAAACAAACAAACAAAAAATAAAATACATATACACAATAACCCTCAAATGAACAAATAATAGTTTCCCTCGCTAAATGTTTAATTATTATTTTAATCACCCCAAATTTTGATATAGAAAAAAAAATGAACAAAAATAATAATAAAAATACGAAATAGTTAAAACAAATAGAAAATAACATATAAGACTTGAACGTTTTACATGATAAAAAAAATGTCATTTGTTTATATGTTGTCTTTATGTCCAAAGGCTCTCGTTGTCACACCATCATTTAAAATCCATCTTTTATCATCAAAAGGAACAAATGATTTTTTATTAATAGTTTTAGTATATAAAACATGGCTTTCGCTTCTTATTATATTCATTTCAGAACGTGTAACAGTTTTATCGAAAAGGCAATTTTTGTACATTTCATGTTTAAGTTTCTGGATGCAGTTTTTGTTACTCCTTTTGCAGTATGCTTTTCTCCACCTTCAAAAGAAAATGAATACATCTTCGATCTCAGTCCAACAAATTCACTTATTGGGATTCCACTTGTTTCATCCTTGAATTTACCTATTACTTTTTTATTTTCGGTGTCATGTAAAAAATGTTCTGGAGGATAATCACTCGTATCTTAAATATCTTGATAATGATGCATATCTTCATACACATCTTCCGTTTCAACGTGATATAAAAAGCTATCAGTATCGGAAAAACACACACGAATTTTATCACCATACAGAGATTTCATATGGTTATAATGAAAATCATACATCAAAAACTTGGATAAGTCTAAAATGCAAAAACCTACGTATATTGGTTGTTTCATTAAAACATTCACACGTTTTTTCTCCACTGCTACCAAATTTTCGTTAAATATTTTGCAAGATGCGTAGGATGGTTTAGCTGTTTCTTTATTAAGTTTCTCTTCCGTGTGACAAAGTTTCACATCTTTATGCTTGCGTGTATTGAGGAG